AAGGGGGGGTCGTCTTATAATCAGGGTCGTCTTATATTCGGGCCAATACGGTATATAAGAAAAAACTTTGTTTTTTTATATACGTTTATACAACAATAAATATTTAAATGTACGTAGTAGTATATTAGTATATAAATAAGGTAGTCTAAGTAATTTATATGAAAAAAAGTAATTTTACTTTATATTCTTATTTATAAATAGGAAAATAAATTATAGGAAATGTATAATTATATAGGAAATAATTATTATATATAATAATTATATATAACAGTTCTTTCTTTCTTTCTCTCTCTCTCTCTCTCTCTCTCTCTCTGTTCTCAATCGGCTTGTGTTTCAGTCTTTCTTCTCTTTGTGAGCGCCATCTTCCCCTCGCGCCTTGATGTGAAGAGTAAAGACAGAGGCGCTGGAGTGCCACCTTATCTCACATTAGACACATGTCTGGCAGGCTGGCCGCCGCACACCTCCCGGGGAGCCACTGGCTGACACGAGCCGCTCGACTCCCTGTCCTCTCCAAACGGATCTGGAGCCTCTCGCTCTCGCTCTCCAGCGTGTCTTCCTCCTCGCCGTTGCTCTTTTGTTTGCCTTCGAGTGCTGAATCCACAGGAAACAGCGTGAGGATGAAGACCGTCTGCTGGCATTTGGATGGCGGGGTTAATTGAGGCGCGTGTTGGGACTCGATGGAGACAGAACGGACAAATGAAGATGCGAAATGTTAAATAACCCTGTTTAATTAGCTGTGTTTACAACCCAAGATTCACTCGCTCAGCTCAGTTATCTGAGCTCTGTCCAAATACCCGCGCCGCCACCTGCTAACACGCTTTTACTAGGGATGCTCCGGTCAGGATTTTTGCAGCCGATACTAGGTACCAATTTCTTGTCATGGTGATCGGCCGATACCGATTCTGATGCTTCAAGCTTTATCCTCCTGAGACCCAGCTATGGAGTTTTTGCCTCTGTAGTGGACATTATATTTTAGTGAATTTCTCTGAGACCTCACATGTCACAGTTTTAGGTCTGGATGTCCTGTACAGAGCACATTCAGGGCTTTCCAGAGATACCAAATGATTGGATGTTTCACCATGACCACTCCCTCTCCTTGGTTTTTAAAAATGGCTGACATTAATTTAGTGATAAAATTGTACATCCTTATGGAAATATGATAATATTTTGTAATTATAATTTAAATCTGATTAATTTTCAAATTGTTTGTCATAAATCAACATCTAAAATGGGGTTTATGCATAACATTATGTATATCAGGATACTTAATATAAGACAAAAATAAATACAAACAAAATGGAGCAGTCTGATGGAACCCACAAGGTTTATTTAAACATGATCCAATAGTAAACTGTAAAGGACAAAATAAACATTTAATCTCATAAAATTGAGGAGTCTGAAGAACTTAAACATTGTCGAATACAAGTCTGAGCAGGACAAAATTAATAATAAAAAAAAAAAAAAGTAACTCCTAAAATAACTAATTGGAGTAGTTTGATGCAACTCATTAGGTTTAATTTAACATTGTCCAATGTTAGAGAGAGGACAAAATAAATAGAAACATTTAAACTCCAATATGGAGAAGTCTGGTTTTAAGGTTTAATACTGTCCAATATAAATATAATATAAGAAATATTAGTAAATATATTAGTAAATTAGTAATATAAGTAAATATGTACAATATAAGAAATAGAAACATTTAAATTACTGAAAGAACAAAACGGAGTAGTTCGGTCACGGTTATATCCACGGGCGCTGCGGATAATCCGCGGGTCGGGTAATAAAAAAATGCATTCTGATTATTTGCGGGTGGGTCGCGAGTGGATAAAATAAATCATTAATGATGCAAATATTAACTAAATTTTCTAAAATATGAACGTGTTTTAAATAGGCTACAGAAATTGAATAAACTGTAGGCCTAAATTAACATTAAAGTTATTCAACAAAACATTATTTAGTCAAGAGCAGTGAGGGATTTTCTCTGTCTTTTGTTGTTTGATTAACATTAATAAAAGACGGCACAGCTTTATTAGGCTGCTGTCACAAGACCTATTTCACGGATCCAATACTGATACACATGCGTTTTCTTTCACAACTGTTTACATTAATTTAAGAAAAAACGGCAGTGCTTATGAGGATACTCGCCAGGACGACCATTTTTACGTCATTTTGTGTGTATTTGGCCGCTTAAGCACAACAAGCCTTGCTTTGACAAACTTAATTTGGTACTCGCAGCGCATGCTTTGGATGTGACTGTGAGCGCACGCGCC